TTTATCTTTTACTAAAAACTACCCCTGAGAGAGTTTATGTGACTACAGTAGAAACTTTAAGGCTGGGTTCACATGGTCACGCATGGAAGTGTGAATGGACCCATAAACTTTCCCTTTCACAGTAAACTGCATCATGGTAATATAAACCAGCCACATAGGAAAGGATGGGATTCCTATTTGTCCATTTTCATTCAAGACACTTTCTGCATTTTACTGTATGAAAATGCTTTACAAGTGACAGTAGGCACTTTAACATGCATTGTATGAATTGTGATAGGATCTAAACTGATATGATGTTGTTTGACAATATGACTGTGTGGAATACCCTTTGAACGAATCATTGGGAAGTTGATCCAACAAATTGCAAAGGTGTTGGGTAATCTCTGATGTTATCTGCTGAGTAAGCAAACATACGCAAACACTCCCTGCATTCCACTATATAGAGTTCATCTAATGGGTGCTATTCAACAAATATGCACAATGGACAAAAAAAGTCCACTATCCTCTGAGGTCCTTCAATTCAGTAGGTCAGGACTGTGGCAGAGTTCCACTGAGCTCTGTTGAAGCTATGAAGCTTGAGAAAGGGCAGGGATGTCTGAAACTGCTGTGATTTATTGATGCGTGAGAAATAAACTGAGGTCTTGTGTTTTATACACTGTATGTATGTTTATAGTGTGTGCGTGTGTGTATATGTGTGTGTGTGTGTGTGTGTGTGTATATATATATATATTATTCATTTTAATGCCATGCTATGTTTCAAATACCAGCGGGAACTGCATTATGTCGGTGTATAGTTGGATTAGTGTATATCCTTATGTCATTAGACTCTCCATCAGATAGCAGCAAAAGTCTCTAGAGAACATTATGAATCTGCTTGCTTTAATGCTTTTCATTGGAAATAGAGTGTATCTCTGTCAGTGGGAATAGCTCATCAAGACGGATGTGAGCGCGTGTGTATCCTGTGATGAGCTCCCAAGGGTCCTGTGGATGAGAGAGTCCATTGTCTGCTCTGGTCTATTAGGATATCCTATTTGTTGTTCAGGAATATTGGATCATGTCTGCGGCATTCTTATTTTTTCAGCTTGGGTTGTTGTCCAAGGCATTGCTAATACATTCATAATTCCACACCTGCAGTATGACTTTTATTTACAGTATATGTATGGAAAAGGTTGACATAACTACAAGCACTGTGTTAAAGCAAAGGCGACTGGCTTCCTTATTTACATAGTAGATATAGTGAATATTTTTATACTCTAAAAGATATTTTGCCCAGGGTTAAACCAGATATTTTGATTCCAGTGAGTTCTGTGAACTAAACTATTGTTCTCTCTTGATAGGGTTTCTATTCACTGCAAGGCTCTTAAATCAATGCTTTCTCTTGTTAATTGTTAATATGAAGAGATCACCACAACAGTCAAAGTATAAGAATACTACTTTCATAATTAACTGTTGTTGATCCCCCGTATTTTGCAAGATCTGGGGAAGACTGGATTGTAGAACCTGTACATTGTCCAATCAACAAAAAACAAAAGCTCTTGCTGAAAGCTTGACTGTTTATGGGATGCTAAATCTGTGGATTTGTTGGTCTATATGTAGAGGAAGATTAACTTTCATGCAAATGCTTACTTTTTTAACAGTTTTATCTTCTGAGCCAGATCTTCCAAAAGGATTTCAGTTCATAGTATCTTCAACAATTTTAGGTCTTTCAACAGTCAATATAGCATATAAAACTGTAATCCATTACCTTGATGACCATTTTACATGGCATACATGGATCTACAGATGACCTCTGTTCAAAAAAAAAAATGAGTTTAATACTTTTTAATCATAATCTGAAAAGTCAGAAGGACTGAACGTTTTTTTTTTTTTAAAATGATGTTTAATTACAGATATGGTCCCCGGGGGTTTGAAGCCCATGAATGTCCTAACATATAAACAATAACACCTCTGTTAGTACTTTTACTTTTTCCTAATACCTATTGTCTAGTGTCTACAAATGACAGCAGCCATTCTCAACCAGGGTTCCCCCAGAAGACGATGGGGGTTCTTTAGGCTGTGGCTGATTGACTTCCTAGTTGATGCCATCTGCATAACTCTGGGTCCAACTCTGCTTGGCAGAGCCAGCGGCATGACGTCACTAATATTATTTTGCTGTCTATAAGATCCTTCTCACACAAGTGGTTTGATCAAGTCTGCCTGTCCAGTTTTCAGGCAGACCCAATCAGACCTTCCCTTGTCGTCTATGGAGCTGCAAGTGTAAATGGACTTGTCTGTTTACACCTGCCTACCTCCAATCCAATCCGGTAAAAAAAAACAAACAAGAGGGAATCTGTCCCCCTCCATCTGGTTGAATTGGAGGACAGTCAGGTGTAGACAGACAGACAGCCAGTCTGTTACATTCTACTGCCCATAGAGCAGAGCGGGCTGTGGCCGTGTCTGCTGTACATTAGGATGGTATTCTGACCACCACTTTAAGGGGGAATTCTTCCCTTTCACCCCAATGAATTAGTTTAGCAGGGGTTACCTAAGATCTTTTAAAATTATTTTAAGTATTCCCATGGGGTAAAAAGGTTGAAAAAGTCTGTCTAGTGTCTTCTAATATGTTTGACCTTTTTAGGATTTATTCAAGTGTGCTATCCTTTACCACTGAGATAACATGTTGCTGAATGTTTTGTGTGTGTTATCTGTGATTTGATATCTTGTTATAACTGTTGTGCTGTTTATATTGTTTTGTAATCCTATTGAGGTGATGAGCAGATTGTTATGAAAGATCTGTTCTTGCTTTCTTCATCTTCTGAAGATAATCTCAATCGTGCAATGTCTCCACTCCATTTGTCCAAACCTCCTCTGCTGATAGATTACTAAGCAATAAATAGCACATTCTGGCACCAGCTTGAGTTGTAGCACTTGTGTATCTGCAAGCAATGATATGGTGGTGTGGAAGTAACAGATGTCTGGAGCACTTGGCAGAAGACCAGGTGAAGGTTATGAACCAGTGGGAACCAACACTTTTTTTTTATAGTTCTGTAATTAATATATAAATGATTGGCCTTTTGGACAGGTGGGTTAGCAGGAAGTATGCTCATTTATTTGTTAATCTTAAGGGGCTTTTACCAAATGTTTCATTCTGTGTGTGGTAATTCTCCTCTATTATGTAATGCTAAAGAATACTTCAGCTATATGGAAGGTTGAGTTATGAGGGTTGCAAGAGAGAGATTTCCTGTTATAGAGATAGTGTAGTATATGTGAACATAAATCCTGGTGTGTGTACCTAAAGGCATTCTGATAATATAATTTTTAACTGGGAAATTGATCTCGACTTTTGATGAACCTGTAGACTTTTTCCATCCATTATGTCACATTTCCCTATTTACTGTGCACTAGTTTTTTACTTTCTGGTGTCATATTGTGTTTTATCTTTTAAAGTACCTTGAAAATCTATTATAAAAATTAGGCTATAGTTATGTATCAAGAATCTAAACAATTAAAGCTTCACACGTGCCTTAAATAGTGACTCATGTATTTGACTGTATAATAAACAGATAGGCATGATTAGATAAAGTGATAGGGGTTTCTAATTGTACTAAGAAAGGCGTGGGCAGGAGTAATGTAAGTGAACAGGCTGTTCCTATGGCCTGGGGCTCTTGCACGTTACAACATGATACCAGTTCAGTTAATATGAAGTAAGCATGGGCACTTTGTCATGACCCTTCAGTATAATGTTTCAAACTCAAAAAATGTTATGTTCAGCTAATGCTTTAGTGTGGTTACTCTGAAGGTTGGTATCCATATTGATTGACATGTAAAGACATGCTATGTATGGATGTACACAGCTGGTGCTATTTATTTTTGTTTGATCATTTGAACATTTCATAACTTATACAGACTTATTTATTAAGCTATGTTAACTCACAGCAAACAGATTTGAGGCTGCCATAGTCAGGGGACCCCAACGCTCAAATCTGATTTCTAGGTGCTACAATTCCCCGTCACACAGTTTTATAAATAGTTTTACGAATATCTTGAATTTTTGCAAACTAGCAAGGTACATTGCTTTATATAAGCCCAAACCTAGACAATCAAAAATATTGTATAGATACAAAGGTGCTATATGTGAGTGAGCTATTACTAGACATCATAATTTTAAGCATGATTTGGAGGGGGGGGGGGGATTAAAATGAATATTGCCATATGCTTTAATTACTAAAACTTGTGATGTAATGGCTCTTTTTTTCAAAAGCTCAGCAGAGCTCATCATGCTGACTCAATTGGGTGAATTTGCTAAAGGCAAATGAACTCTGCACTTTGCAAGTGCAATAGCACTCAGTTTTCTTAATAAATGTAAATGTGGCAAAACTTCACTTTGTAAAGAATACCCAATCGGGTCTAAGGGAAATTTAAGAAAAAACATTTTTGCATGCACAATTGGATGATGGAAACCAGCAGAACTTTACCAAATTTACTAAGCTCTGGGGAAAATGAGAGCAAGCGCACAGACGATTTGCCTTTTGTAAATCAACACCAAAATGTTCTGATGTAGCATCTACAGCTAGTATTAAAAAATTATCATGTCAGGAAAAAATATAGGTTCTGAATCAAAAATGCTTTATAATTTACAATGTAAGTGTTCAGACTTGACCAGTAAACTGCTAAGTGGCGTTATATTAACCACATTTTATAGTTGAGTGGTTCATAAAGAAAGTGACTTTTAGAGACTGATCCATATAACAGAATTTCATCTCCTCCTTATTTGTTTTGGTTTTGAATCATAGTAGTAAATAATTGGTGTTAAACATGTCATGGATAAGTAACCAGGTGCTGTGTGCTAATCAATCGGAAATGAGCATATAATTGTGTAAGAAGGACCATGTCAGCTATGGTATGTCACATGCTGCTACATATGGGAGGCTGCAGGTTTCTCAATGAAATTGTTGTATGGAGGCTCCAGATGTACAGGCTGTAGTCAGCTGGCTATAGTGTAATTATTTGTTTGTTGACAGGTTCCCAAGAGTCGGACAGCTCACAGTCTGCCAAGAAAGACATGCTGGCTGCACTGAAATCCAGGCAGGAAGCTCTGGAGGAGACACTACGCCAGCGGCTGGAGGAGCTGAAGAAACTTTGTCTACGCGAAGCGGTAAAGATAGGACTTTTTCTTCCGGATTTCTGTGCTGTAGACAGAGCATGAATGTGAATATATCAGGCTGTTGGGCATAAAAGTAATATGTGTAATAAAATGTACTTTAAATATTAATCACACACCAGACTCATGGCCTTGTCCTACATTTTCAGCATGATGCTCTTGAATCCATGTATTTACAGTATAAAACTGCCCATGGATAAAGTTTTTTGATTGGTAAGAATATCTTACACCTAGCATTTACCAGTAGATACTCAACACCCCATTTTGCAGTATACCTTCCTGGTGCACACTTCAAGGCAGTAACATCTACCATACTCAAGAAAAGAAAATCATGCCATATGAATAATGGTAGAGACAGATTGGGCAAACATAGCAATCTGATAGCTTGTCATTTTGTCATGTGAAAACTCTCACTATATTTTCTATAGAAATCTATTCCAGAGCATAGGTGTGACGAATCCTCAGTAGGATTGAGAGTACCCAATTACTCGGGGTTTGCAAAACTGTGAAAATCTTTTGCAATCACATTTCTCCCTGCTAGGAATCTTAGGAATCACAATCATTTCCTGTAAGGCACTTTGGAACTTTGGAAGCAAGGATTAAGGTGTGGGAGGAAAGCTGAACACAAGCAGTCAATGAAGAGTGACAAAACCATGACGAAAAGAAGAATTTTGCTTACTAAGTAGAACTGCTATGGCAAATATGCTCTCATGTCACTAATAATTTTTTGAATGTATACAGATTTTACCAGTGGTGGAGAGCTGCCAGTCTCCTATGCTACTAAAACCATGCATTGTACCTGTGAAAAAAACAGGTACTAACCTTGCCAAGTTAAATATTTTAATCAGGAAGATATAAAAAAAAAAAAAGAAAAAAGAAGAAGAGGACTTTCCCTAGGGATTTATTATGGTATAAAAATATTTATACAGAGAAAATATTGACATCAGTGTATTAATATCCAGCAAACCTATTATTTGGTTACCTGAGATAAAAATAAATATGTTACCACAACATTTCATATTCCTGATGTGCCTGTTGTACTATGTACTTGTGTTAAAAAGTATCCTGTTCTCTCTGTATTGCTGCCTTTTGAGCACATTGATCCTGCCAGTCTCTCTGCTTTCCTATTAAAAACTGACCACATTAAGCATGAGAGCACATTCATCTTAGCATCGTCAGTTTTCTGGCTGTTCTGGGAGTGCAGACTGCCTGTCCTCCAGTGATAAGACTTGTGCTGACTTTTTTATATTGATACATGAACCTTTTGCCTTTCATATTGACATATAGAGACATGCTACCTTGTAAAACAATCCATTAAAATAAATTCACATATACTTTAAAACGGACCTCCAGTCTTCTGTGAAAAAAATTAGTCAGCAGCTACAAAAACTGTAGCGAAACAGCCACTCACCTGTCCCATGATCCAGCAGTGTGCTCACTGCAGCCAGGTTCACCGGCTGTCCTCTGTCCACGGTGCTGGCATTTTAATCCAGTTAGGTAATCATTAAAGATACTATACTTAAAAATGCAGTGAATCTCTAAAGTGTTACTAAACCTACAATAGTAAAATCAGTCTGTATATGCAGTAAAGCATTCTTGATATATTTACTGTGGAGCCTAAGGGGTTAATCCTCTGCATTCTGTAAAAAGGCCATTTGATCCTGACTTCTCTGGTCCTCTCCTTCTTCCAGTGTCCCCCTCTTATCTCTTGATAAGACATATCATGTGGAGACACTCTGCACATGCTCAGTTTGGTGTGTATTGGTAGAGAGGTTTTTTTTTCTTGGGAGGGTGCATGTGATCAGCACAGGGCCAATCAGCACTGTCCAGACAAAGGGTCAGGGTCCTGCATCCTCCTAGAGCAGAAAGAAAACTCCAAGCTTTAACCAGTGCTCTGCTACACACTGATAAAAGTCACAAGACTGCTCTAACTGCTGATGAGAAAAGGTATTGTCATTTTTATTTACTAAAATAATTGCATTTCCATGTTGTGTGTGTACTGTGGGAACCATATAGAGTAAATGCAGGGTCCTGGGTTTAGTAGCACTTTAAACTGCACTTCAATCAGTCTTTATACTAGCATATCAGAACTTGAACTAAGAGATGAAAATTGTTACATAGTTAGTCTGGCTGAAAAAAGACAAAAGTCCATCCAGTTCGACCATTAAAAAGTTGTAATCCTATACCCACAGTTGATCCACAGGAAGGCAAAAAAAAACCCAGCAAAACATGAGCCAATTTGCTCCTGCTGGGAAAAAAAATGAAGGGGCAGCATAGTGATACAACCAGGCTTTACTTGTATTGCACAGTTCCATGCATTTACTAAATACAGCTTGATTGGATCAGAAATGAACAAGAAGACTTCATCTATAAGCTACCATTCCTCACTGTCCTATCACAGTCTTCATCGGACTGTACCGCTTCAATAGCAGACATGAAAAGTAAACGATGAAGGCCTTGTACATTGTCTGGCAGGAGCATCTGGATTAGAAAACTATAGGAGATTTAGTTTTTTTTGGCAGGTAACACAGTTCACATATGTATTCCACCTGTGTATTTAGCAGTCTTCCTTCTTTTACACTTTAAAATGGTTCTAGATCTCCTGCATTTAGAACTCCAAACATTCTCCATGTCATGGCTTGGATAAACACATGCTGAACCATACTGAATTTACATAAAGTACAGCATTCAAAGGGAACAAATGGAGGCCGCCATTTATTGCCTCTTTCTGAAATTGCCAGAAGCTTAGCTGTGTTTCTACTTGTTACAGGTCATTGACTCAAGCCAACACATCAGTATGACACCCATGCAGTTAGCATTACAGAAGCAAATCTCAGAAATGGCACACTATGTGTTTTTTTTATAATAGGTTTCCTTTAATTGCCTTTTAAAATGATCAGACATGGCAAAAGAAATCTCCTTTCTGATACCATCCTTATGTAAACACACATTTTAGCTCCAATTTAGGTAGAGGTCAATTATGTTTTCTGGGAATTGTGGGAGGATAGCAGGACATCTGGTGAAATGACACAAACTCAGTACAATTAGATTCCCCTATAAGCACTTGCACTTTGTTCATATGGTAAATTTAAACTATGTAAAACATTTGCTAAGTAAGCTTAACTAGGGCAGCCATCATTATATATTACTTTAAAGAATCGCGCGGTAGCAAAACAAATAGCTTACGAAGCAAAATGCTTGTTATTGTGTTTTGCAGGAACTTACAGGCAAACTGCCAAGAGAATATCCATTAGATCCAGGAGAAGAGCCGCCTACTGTTCGAAGGCGGATCGGAACATCATTTAAATTGGATGAAGACAAACTTCTAGGAAAAGGAGAGGTGAGCAATCTCCATGACGCCTGTGTAGCTACCGGAGATAGCGGAACTTTTTGGTTTAATTGTTTTACTTGCACAGTACTGAAATCTTGCATGTAACGTATGCTACAAAAATTATATTTATTGTAATTTATAATTAAATTCTAAATGGTGCTCAAGGCAAGGTTGACACATGCACAATAGCTCATTTAGTAAGAGAATTAAAAACAATTTTTTGGATGTTTATTTGAGGTTAAATATAAAGGGGTCTATTTAACAAGCACAATTTATTTAAAGAATGTAGAACATGTAAGAACTAAAGGATGAGACTTTCTGCAGCTTGAGAATCTCTCACACAATGTATATTTATCCATGTCCCGGGTGTGCTTTACATTAAATCTGTGACACCCAGTGCCCGGCCATGGTATGCAATACCACAGCTGTGAGGGTCTCGTATTACCAGATACGGCGACACAGTGTTATCTTAACCAGAAATATGTCTTGTAAACACCATCTTCTAGGTCAAATTTTCTCCTCCATGTTCTGAGAGATGAGTCAGTGAGAAGCAATGCTGGATCAATAACTGCCTCTGATTCAGAACAGGAGCTCTAGACTTTGCTTTTGTTTTGCAGAATCAAAGCTGAATAAACATGAAAGGGATGTCTGATTAAGAACATACTAATGCTATGGTTTGGAGTTGTGCTTGTATGTCCTATTAAGTAAGCACTGCTCTCTCATTCTTCCACCCATCTCTTGGTCAGAGCACTGAACCATGGCTGTAAAAACAGCTTAAGCAGCTCTTAGGACAGGAATATGCCAAAAGTCCATTGTCTAGGTGACTTATGAGCCTCCAGACATCTCTGCCATTGTTTGGTTTCCTGTGTCTCCTACCAGTTAATCAGGTTTAGTCATGTCATATGGGCAAGAGATGTGCTGACACAGCCAGGTTTTACCAACATTCTCACACACTTTTGTTGATTATAAGAGCAATTAAAATGTTAAACATCTAAAAGTGTGGTGCTTAATTCCTAAAGCCAGTAAAAATGCACTTAAATTTCAACAAATTCTACATAAGTAATCTTCACTAGTTTTAATTAGTTAAATTGAATGAGCTAATTATCTTTTTTTAAGTGTAATGTATAATTAAAACTAAATACAATGATATTTAGAAGAAAGATTGTGGCTCTGTGCAGATGACCTGCATATAATTTGTCAGTGAAAGCATAACGTGTTGTCAAATTCTTCAATACTCCTTTGAATTTGCCAAAAGAAAGCTGTGATCCCTCCATGCACACGTAGATGTCGTCCGTTGAGGAGTAAAGCCGGCAATAGACTATGCAATTTTCTTTCCTGCAACCTGTCACTGGTGCAGTGATTATTAACACAGTGATTATTGCCAGCAGCTATAGCTGGCAATAATCACGTGCAAAATCTGACAGGCGGGTTGTACCCAAGTTGTACAACAATTGAATTGGCTACAACCAGCCTGCCCATAGATGGTTCAAATCTTGGCTGGTGTCTGTTGAACTAGCCAAGATTTGAACCACTTATGGCCGGCTTTAGTTCACCTTTACCAAAAGAAAATGAAAAACAAACACCTATGCAGGTTACGGGTGTCTGTAAATACAAACAAACTGTGCAACTTTGATCAAAGTTGAATAATGCCCTTCCAATGGGTGTAAGCAATATAAACACAAATGGTGCTAATAATATAAACGTGCATATATGAAAAGTGATAACAGAAATAGCGTTTGTGACAATAAATATGAGCTACACCAAATATCTTCTTAACACATACACATAGATACCCATAGAACTGCACATAACCATGCTGAAATGAATAGTGCATACAAATACCAAATGAAATGTTCTAAATGGTGAACTGTCCCTTTAAATCTCAGATATCTTCACATATGCTTGTGCGTTATATTTCCTATATATCGTGATCCAAATACACCGGCAACAAGTGTCTAATAAATAAATAAGATCTCAAATCAATGGTGAACCGTCCCTTTAAATCCGCTATACTCCAAGTGGATAAGTGTAATCACACTACTACATACATGTGTGTGGTGCTCCTGTGTCACCCCTTAGTACTCATCCACCTCCAACACACTATTGCGCTTACCTCCAGGTTTGACCCTTAATGTAACTCCTGAAGCCTTACTGAAAAACTCCCATCCATCTTCCCATCCTGCCTTGTTTGCTAGGATGCCTCTAGGAAACTCCCAATCGATACAAACCTCTTTGCATGTGATTTCTGTCCCCTGATGCAGCGCTCACGCCTGCGATGGTGGGTGGGAATAGTAAGTGCTAGTAGTCTCTTTGCAACAATGCAGAATGGGATGATGCCATCTCTGGAAGCTTTTTCAGTAGGGCTTTTGGAGGTATGTAAATGGCCTACACCTATAGCAAGGGCATTATTCAACTTTGGTCAAAGCTGCACAGTTTGTTTTTATCTACAGACACATAGGCAGTTTTTTATGTAAAGGTGAATAATACCTTTTAATGAAAAGCTTTCATACTCAAAAAATTCCTACTTCAAATCCTATTATTTATTAAGAAGAAATTAGACTTACTGAAGAGGTGTACAGCTGTCTTGTCTATATGCTAAAACATACTCAAGGCAAAGGACCTAAAAGGACGTTGTTCCTTCTCCATTTATATTATGAGTAATGTAAAATAAGTGGCAATATCAAAATCCAGCTGGTGGGATTCAAGTCTTTCATAATGGCCATAGTGTGCAATGTTAGGTTCAAAGATCTCTCCGTGGGTGTCTGAGAAGCTAATGCTGGCTATACGCTAGTCAAATTTCTTTTGAAAATTTTCATTTTCAGAACATTTGTATAATTTTCTAATTGTTAATGGGGTCATATCGATGTTTGTTTTTGACCATAGTTATAAGAAAATTTGAAAGCGTGAGATTGATGTTTTTCTCAAACTGTGGTTTTTGTTTGGGAAATTGGAATGTTAAAAACATTTGTGAGTACTTTCCAACAAGTTCATCATCTTTGTTTCTGTAGGCCTTATTGAATGTGCTGGCGAGCTGTCCAAATGTTTCTATAAAAATCAACCAGTTTATGGCCAGCTTAAGAATCAACTAGGTGATTCAAACCGCCAATGTTCAATATAAGTTTTAGTAGACTTTACCTATTAGCTGCATGGTAATTCATATTTATGTATAATTAAACAGCTTGTTGTTAACCTAGCACATTATTAGTGTGTTCATAAACGGTTTAAGGAGTAAAAAAGCAGCTTAAGTTATTGAAGATCTGTCTGTTCAGCACTTTGAACATAACCTGAAATTAAAAGAGCTTTTAGCCCTATTTCAGAAAGGAGATGAAGGAAACCATTAGTAAGTCATGACAGAGTTGTGGTTAAACAAAACTTGGAGGGATGCAGCATCATCATCATCCTAGCAGTCCAAGAATACTTTAAAGTTCTACTTCTGGGTGGTACTCTCACTAAGTAAAATACCAAGACACGGAGATTTTACAAATCACGCATTTATAAAGTGGCACGGCATTTGCTTCCTTTACATTGTAAGTTAACTGAAGTTGTTCAGTGTCATGGCCTTGGTTCAGTTGTCAATGCTCTGTATGTGGGCTGAGCAGTTAGTAAAATCTGGAATCTTTACAGGAAGAGGAGCTGGAACGCCTCGAGAGAGAGTTTGCCATTCAGTCACAGATTACAGAGGCAGCTCGGCGCTTAGCCAGTGACCCTCATGTAAGCAAAAAGCTGAAGAAGCAGAGAAAAACCTCATACCTCAATGCTCTGAAGAAACTACAGGAAATAGAGAACTCCATTAATGAGTACCGCATCAAGTCTGGCAAAAAGCCTACACAGAGAGCATCTTTAATCATAGATGGTGAGTGCTCAGAAATATATACTGTTTTTTCTTCTATTTCTAGTGTGCCATGATAAAATGAGTTACGTTTTGCCTTTTATACATATCCAGAAATAAAAAAAATGTTTGGTGTGTTGCTTTGGTTACAGAACACGTAATAAATGCTTGGCACGAGGTTTTTGGGCATGTGTGGACAGTAAAAATATGCAGACTTTTTCAAACTACTTTTATGTATGCAGCAGGTATAAAGCGGAAAAAATGTACATGTCCTTAAACTATGCACTTCTTTATTCACAGAAGCAAACCTGGGCAGTGAAGACAGCTCACTTTCCGATGCACTGGTACTAGAAGATGGTAAGCATTAATGACATTTTGATTCAACATCTGCTTTTCGGTCACATTCATACAAAGTTCACTGTGTATACTGCACATCTTAAAAGTTAGGCTTTATATGCTATAAACGTTTTTGACTAGTTAATCCAATTTTGGTTTACTGTTCCTTTCCATACATAGTTTCATTTCACTTTATGCACCTAAAAACTGATCACATTCAACTAGGCATATGACTTAATGGTATGTACGGTGCAGTTGCACCATGGTCATATTCACCATGGTCATATTCACAGTAACACCCCATCATTACCATCATTAACCCATAGACACAGATCTATTTAAAGAATAAAATGAGATCACACACTTTTTTTTAGGACTTTTTTATATTTTAGGTTTGAATAATATTTGAACTTTTTTTTCATATTATATGCATTTTTAGCCTTTGGATTTTCTGTTCCTGATAACATTTGATACTATTATTTTCATAGTTTAGGGTAATATGAAATGTTTTCAATTATTCAATTTTTTTTTTTTTTTTATTAATTAGATGATTCCCAGGCACCTAGCATTCTGTCACCTATGCAGTCTCCTCATAAAGGCCTGCCACCAAGACCTCCCTCCCATGCCAGACCCCACCCTCCTCAATCATTGGATGGACTAAGGCAGTTGCACTACCAGCGAAATGACTATGACAAGTCACCAATAAAACCCAAAATGTGGAGTGAATCTTCTTTAGATGAACCTTATGAAAAAGTGAAGAAACGGTCATCACACAGTCATTCCAGGTATCCACTAGTCTATTAACATACTACTACATTTGTGTACTACTACATTGCTGTAGACTGCAAGAGTACCAGATGCTTTACTCAGACTTTGGTGTTAACATTATACAGGCTGTACACTTTGCAGGGGACTTTTCCTTTAGCTTCATGAATGTGGTGAAAATTCTCTTTGGAAGCAAATATTCAACCAGGTGCAAGGAAAATTATATTAAAAAAAAACCCACAGTATTTTGTGTGTACATAATTGGATGATGGAAATCAGCAGAGCTTCAGCTTGTTTACTAAGCTAAAGGCAAATTCTCTTGCGAGGGAATTTTGGGCTTTAGTAAATTAACCCCTTGGTGCCTAGCTTTTAGATGGCAATACTCTTGTGATTATCGCCATTGTTAAACCCTTTATTACTGACTAACACATATACAGTACATATGTGAGGCGACAAAGGAGTGGACTTTTGATGCCCACACAATGCACATATGTGTCTCTGGGTAGCTGATGTCTCCGTGCTGAGAGTGTGCTCACTGTGTGCTCCCAACACAGAGACTGAGCTGTAAAAGACAGCTCTTGATCCTTGCTAATGACCAATGTCCGATCATGTGAGCATTGTGACAGCCAATAACAGTGATCATGTGATCGGACAATCTTTCCCTACCCCCCACGTTGTTCAGAACTTTTTAAAGGGACACCGGGGCAGGCAGGAAAGGATTAAAGAGCTGTTTATTATTTATAGCATATATGATTTTGTGCCCTAATGTCCACTAGGCTGTTTTATTTGCACAATTTCATACTAAATATACTAAATATGCTCCCTTTTATTGTTTAAAATTGATTTATTCCTATTTTTAATTTCAGTAACCACAAACGGTTCCCCAGTACAAGCAGCTGCTCAGAAGCTGTTGGGAGTAACTCTCTACAGAACAGTCCCATTCGGAACCTTCCTCACTGGAACTCCCAGTCCAGCATGCCATCTACACCAGATCTGCGAATACGAAGTCCTCATTATGTCCATTCAACCAGGTAAAATATATTTTTCAAATATTTAATCTCTTTCACACTTTATTGTGGTAATAATAGTCCTATTGTTATTTGTTAAGTGTTCCATTATATTTCCAAAAAAAATTTAGTTGATCAAACATATCGACACCTGTATGTTAAAATTTATAGTGCATTAGTTTTTTTATAATGACAATGAAATAATCTTTATTTACTGTATAGATCAAATACATACTGCATATACTATGTTTTCTTCCATGTCAAGAGAAAGCTGCTCTGGAATATATTTCCAGTACAGTGAAGCAAAAAATGCAAAGGTTACACCATTAATTTTGTATCAAATTAAGTTGCCAGCATATATGGCCATGCTGATGTCAGTAGACCATTTTTAATTAAAATATAAAGTTTAATATTTGGGATTTACTTCTGAATTTGTTTTGTTAAAAGATGTTATTTTTTCTATCAGTTAATTATGTTTGCTAAATTTACAGATCGGTGGATATCAGTCCTACTAGACTTCACAGCTTAGCACAGCACTTTAGGCACCGCAGTTCCAGTTTGGAGTCGCAAGGAAAACTGTTGGGCTCTGAAAATGACACTGGAAGTCCTGACTTCTACACTCCAAGGACTCGTAGCAGTAATGGCTCTGACCCTATGGATGATTGTTCCTCTTGTACTAGCCATTCCAGTTCTGAACACTATTACCCAGCCCAGATTAATCCTAATTATTCAACATTGGCTGAGGACTCTCCTTCCAAAGCCAGGGAACGTCAGAGACACAGACACAAGTCTAATGGGAACCTTGTATCCTCCAATTCAGGGAGCATGCCAACCTGGCTGCCAGGAATGGAACTGGACACCATGGTGTATATTTGCATAGCCAGAGCCAACCTTCATCACAATACAGGATCAAAGAGTATCCTTTATACATTGAAGGAAGTTCCTCCCCTGTTGTTGTACGGAGTTTAGAAAATGATCAAGAGGGACATTACAGCGTCAAAGCACAATTCAAAACATCAAACTCTTACACTGCAGGAGGCATGTATAAGGAGAACTGGCATGGGGATGACAATGCAGACTCTGTTAGGCTTACACCCTCTCGTTCTCAGATTGTAAGGACTCCATCACTTGGGAGAGAAGGCCATGAGAAGGGTTCAGGCAGAACTGTGGTGTCTGATGAGTTGCGGCAGTGGTTCCACAGGTCCTCCTCATCTCATAAGGAGCACAACAGACTTTCACATACTAGTTCCAACTCTTCAGACAGTGGCTCTCAATATAGCACATCTCAAAGCACCTACGTGGCACATAGCAGGGTAACAAGGATGCCTCCAATGTGTAAAGCAACAACAGGTAAGACAATTTTACAAATCTTTAGATTTTTTTGTATTGCTGAACTGCATTTTCATGGCAATGTCCATTATGTATGAAATGCAGGTCAGTTTTACAGCTGACCTGTGTAGTATTTACATTAAATGATGTGTCATCTGCAAATCAAGATCATCTGAAACCTACTGACATAGTTAATTTCTTTGGTAATGGTTATAGAAGTAGCAGCACCACCAGATATTATTTATCTAGTGCCTTTTATTTCATAAGGTATAAGAAGTATGTTTTGCTCAGACTTTGGTTGTTTTAGTTTGAGGGAAAGTCTGAAAAAGCTTTGCTGATGGCTAAGGAACCAGATAGTTTCTATCTGCAGTAAATTCTGTTTACTGTTTTTAGTTACATAATGGTTAATTTTCAGTGGTGTTTAAAAAATGCTAGTCAAATGTCATAGTTTAAGATGTGTATATAAACTCCAGCAATGAACTCAGATTTGCACCCTTTTGGTTAAATATACCATTTAGTCAACTGTTGGGCAATTACAAGAAGATAACTTGATCTGCCAGAAATCCAGTGTTGTCCTGTGTACTCTGCAGTGATATCTGTAAACTACAGAACATGTCACCCTATGATATGGGGAAATAATGCATTTGAGGTGTTTGTAGTCCTTACACACTTCCTATCTTAGAGTGGTAACCCTGTACATAGATACAGTACAGTGACTGCTGTCACCCTAAAGACTCCTTCACATGGGTGTGTACTACAGTGTACTCCCATGTGAGACCCATGTTTACCCGCATGGGGATGCACAAGTGTTCCTTGCATCCCCATTCATGTCATTTGGAACACAGCATCTGCTCAGACACAGCCACTGCTCCCAATTTGACATTGGTGCAGGTGCATGGTACCGAACACACACTATCTGCATTTGGGGCCATGCACCCACACAGATGTCAAATTGGTCCTTGCAGCCACTATATCCCAAATGACATGGATGGGACTGCCTGCATGGGGATGCACGAACCACCTGTGCACTGCTCTGTGGATAAACATGGCATTCGCATGGGTATACGCTGTAGTACACTCGTGTGAATGAGGCCTAAGACAGGAAATGTCACTGGCAGGATCACCAGGTGAAAGTAATCAAAAAAATTAATTTGGAAACTATTCTGCGCCACCACACATAAGGACTGGAACTCTGCAATTTATTGCAGTTTTGGTTTTAATTTACTTTAACATTTTGGTGAAATCTTGTTCTTGATAAAATTTTATACAAAAGGAAAATTTATTATAAGAACTTTCATACTGAGTCATTCCCTGCCATGCTTTGTTCAAAGATGTCACTAATATGTAATTGAAACCACAATTCCAAAACCTTATTATTATTACTATTATTATTATTATAATACAGGGTTTAATGTACTGACAGTTTGTTCAGCGCTTTACAATATAAAGGGAGGCAGTAAAATGGTGTAAATCTTACATCCACGTACTATAGTTTTGCCATGTCAATAGGCAGTGCTCTGGTATGCACCAATATTTCTTTATCAGTCATATATATATACAATCTTGTTTTATTGGCATGTTTTCTTGTTAGTACAGCCAAGTATTGTGAAACCCCAAAAGAATTTCCCTCCCTGGGTCTGCCTCTTATTTTCACCAGCTTTCCTAAGTGGGTGGTCTATTTCTTGCAGGGGGTGGTGAACAGGAGGTTGTTCTAGTGAGACAAATCTCATTGCACTCTATACAATGTATAACGGGTAGACAGGATGTTCTCATCCTGCTGGCTCATAATCATACAGATGTTCATGTAATCTTTGTACTTTGTATAAAATATTGCTCCTTAGATTCGTTATTTTGATCGCTAAGGCCTCATTTTGTGAAGATATGGCTTATGTAATAGTTTATTCCAGATCTATTATCTTATAACATATTTTTGGTTGCTTATTAATGAAATAAAATGTTGATCCAATGAAATTGTGATTAATACAAATAATCTGATCTCAGAAGATGCATGGCCATTGCAAGCCATAATATTTGCCAAAACATCTTTGCTTGCCTTCTGTGTATAGACTGCATACAGCCTTGCAACGTCTATAGCCAGCATCCATATCTTGTGTATTTGGAGATCAGAATATTAGACCCTGGCAGATTGTCCAGTCGAGCTGGTGGCCACCTGCCACACTTGGCTGATCTAACATAATTACAGGCTTGGATGGATAATTACTGCCATTTTATAATGGATTATACATAAAGAGAAGTCGGGGCCAGAGATGTGTGTCACACCCATCTCTCCCACTTTAGAGGTGTCAGCAAGCACTTGGGCAATTTGTGCATGTTTATGTATATACTTGGAAAAAGAAAATGCCATGGAAAAAGAAAATTGCCATGTAGAGCAATGCCAACATGTCCATTTAGCATTTACTGTAGCTATCGTGTGTGAATCAAGGTGTACATTATTTCGGAGCAATGCAAATCAGCTATCAGACGCTCTTGGTTTGCTCTGGAAGACAAGCATCTAAATTAACCGGCCACCTACTGCAAAGAAGTGAAACAAATGAAAATGATAAATAATTCATTTTGCTTAGAGGATCTTCACCCTGTAAACAAAAATGTAAAAGTCAGCAGCTACACATAATGTAGCTGCTGACTTTTTGAGAAACACACACTTACCTGTCTCAAGATCCAGCGATGTCCTCACCTGACTCTTTGTCCTGTCTTCGGGTCCAGGTGGTGGCATCTTAACTGTGGGCAGCCCACTTCATTTGCCTGGGCAGCCAGAGCAGAAATGGGAGAGGGTACCTGTTAAAATCAAATACCCACTCTCCCCCCTTCCCCCACCCCTACAAAAAACATTCTAGACATGGGAGAGAAGGGTGGGAAGAGGAGGAAAAGCAGAATTTCCTCTTTTGGGTGACGTTTTGCTTTACCCTTATTATTATTATTATACAGGATTTATATAGCGCCAACAGTTTGCTCAGCCTTTACAATATAACGGGAGACAATACAGAATACAGTTCAATACAAGAGGGATAGGAGGGCCCTGCTCCTTGGAGCTTACAATCTAAGACCTTATGGGTTTTTGTCTTCATTTTCAGCATAACATCAGCAGAAATGTTTTTTTTTTTTGGTATAGTATGATGATATTTGTATTGCTGTTGATGCTGTCTATGGCCCCTTTGAGGAAATATCTATCCATCTCCTGTACTGGTGGCACACCTAGGGCAGGAAGCAAGGGAAATCTAAAACAGCAATTCAGATAGCAATAAAAGATGGGGGTGGGGGATCAAGTCAGCATTACAACACATGATAAAAGACTGTTATTGCTCTTATAACTCTTCTAGAGAGATTTCCCCTTATTTGCTGCATCAGTGAAAATGTTGTCATTTGGACAGAAAGTATAATGAAATCTTCCCAACAGTAAAGACCCTTTCCTTACCCAATCCAAGACTAAACATTTTTGCTGGGATTCTACTTAGGTAGTATTATTATTATTATACAGGATTATATATAGTTTGCACAACACTTTACAATATAAATGGAGACAGTACAGTTACAATACAGTAAAATAAAAGAGAGTTAAGAGGGCCCTGCTCATAAGAGCTTACAATCTAATACAGTGGGGCAACTGGTAATAAAAGGAAATAACTGCAGTAGCAATGTGTAGTGTGCAAGTAAATAAAATATATTTTTCTGCCTAAACTTGCTACTGTTAGAACATTTAAAATTCCCACCATAATGTACATTTACAAGCCAGTGAAGTGCAAATTGTCTGGCAGTCCGATTGTTCTGTAGTAAACAGTCAGATTATGTCTAATGGTAATGTGAGGTTTAGGGGTGCTACAAAAATGATTAGTTTTTACTACAGTCGTTATATTATTAAAACAAAAATACAACTGAAACACATTACTTCTGTTATCATTTTAAACCAGGCCTAGATGTTGTATGATATTTTCTACCATTTAAAAAGAATTTCATCAGCATATTATATTTCTCCAAAATGAAGGCTCCTGTGGTGCTTTTTCTTTCTGTGGCCTTTCAAAGATTGCCTAGAGGCAGCACATGAATGTTAACGAAGTCTGAATTGTAACACAAAACTTTATAAGTATTGTCTCCATGGCAACTCTTGTGTCAGGTCATTCCTGTGCTTCGCCTGGCTGAATGACTCCAGGGGTGCGTTAGACAGAATGTGTAGAATGTGGTAGTCATGTGATAAGCATGGTGTGAGCTCATTAAATGTTGGTGAGGAACTCCTCTCTTCTTTGCACCGTGTGATCCTTCATTGTAGTAAATTTACCATCTTTGTTCAATATTTAATTTATACAGTACCTGTTAGTTTGTCTTTGGTTTTCTAGCCAGGTTTGCATTGTACAAGGGGGATTCTTCATTTTCTTTGCCCAGGTATACAAAGCATAATCTCAGTCTTGATATAATCTCTCATTCACAGAGCTGATTTGTTCAGAGGTAACCTAGTTTTACAAGTTTTCCCCATGTACTCTTTCTCATGTAGGTAAGTGGTTCTAGTTCTAAAGTCTGACCTGCCCCCCTCCCCACACGGCAAGTCTGAAAATGTCTTGGAAGGAGATGGATCCATCATAACTGCAGCTTGTCTTGGCTCAGAGCACTATCCCGACGGAAATGCGGGA